CCAGGATTTTTCTCCATATAATGCACTTTGCTGGGCACCAAACGGTTCAAGGTCCAAAAGACAGTTTCAGTGCAAACTGCAAACTGTTCAAAGGGCTTTAAACGATTCCAGACGATGAATAATGGTCTTATCAAGCGAAACGATCGGTCATTTCAAAAATAAATAACAAAGTTTAAGTTTAATAATGTCAAATGCTCGCCTTGCTCTGTTCTGTGATGCACGTCCGTGACTCTCCTGTTCGAACTCGTTCATCAAAATGAACAAATCTTTTTTCGAGTCATTTGGTTCATTTAACGAACGAAATGAACGAATTGACTCGGAAAAAGATTCGTTCATTTTGATGAACGAGTTCGAACAGGAGAGTCACACAGAACAGAGCAAGGCGAGCATTTGAGCTTATAAAACTTAAACTTTGTTATTTCTTTTTTAAATGAGCGATCGTTTCGCTTGATAAGACCCTTATTCATCGTCTGGTGTCGTTTAAAGCCATTTGAACAGTTTGCACTGAAACTGTCTTTTGGACCTTGAACCGTTTGGTGCCCAGCAAAGTGCATTATATGGAGAAAAATCCTGGAATGTTTTCATCAAAAACCTTAATTTCTTTTCGACTGAAGAAAGAAAGACATGGACATCTTGGATGACATGGGGGTGAGTAAATTATCAGCAAAAGTTTTTTTTTAAAGTGAACTAATCCTTTAATGCATTTGCCAGGCACTTATCCAAATTAAGCAACTTAAATTGCATTCAAGATGCATTTTTTTTTATCAGTTGATGCATTCCCTGGGAATCGAACCCATGACCTTGGTGTTGCTGGCACCATGTATGCAACTTTGCTGCATCATCCACATTATCACACGTCTCTACAAATTGCCAACTTTTATTGGAACACATCGACTACTTGCAATGTAATTTCAGTCACTACAAAATGCTTTGAATGTGACATCATTATGCCTCACTGTACTCTTAAAAAAGGCATCGAAATTGCTTCTATTCACCTTATTTCTTTCTATTAATCTCCCTTTCAATTTGTAATGGGTATGCGATAAAATATCCATCACACCTCCAATTTACTCCAATAATATTTTCAATTCACACTCCGATACCAATGGCAATTGCATTAGATATCCGACCATTATTCTCAGTGAAAAGCTCTGATCTATGGAGAGGTGACTGAGTCACCACTGCGTCTGCCGGCTGGGTTTGCTGCAGGGAGGCTGATACCGAGGTAACAGGATGGGTAATTAGGTTGGAAGTCTGAGTCTCGCAGAAAGACCCCCTTGCCCTTCCCCTGCTAGACTTTCTTCAATCCTACTAAAATTAGAGCTGAGCCGAAGGCAAGACGCAACAACCGCAGAGGGTCAAACATGAGACCAGAGAGAGGAAGAGGAAGAAAACTCCAGGTTGGAAGGAGAGAATGAGCAGGCGATGTGAATTACTAAGACCTGTATAGTAGAGCGAGAGAGAGGCAGAGACAGCCTGCGGTGGTCAGAGTTGTGACTAAAGCGCAAGGGACGTGTGGGAAGCCTACGGCTCGGTAAAGCGCACACTTTCCCACCCCCACACCTCCTTTCAAGGCAACTATTTAACATAAAAATTGATTTATATCGAGCCCTAAATTGCTTCCGAGGGATTCGCTCCCGTGGAAGCGTAGACAGGGGTCTAGAGTCAAGTGCGTGAGCTAATGAGGCCCAGGGTTTCCATGTGAACAGGCAAGAAGAGGAGCTGCATGCGCGGACATGTCAGCTCAGACCACAGCAGTGACCTGTGACAGACTGTTGTGTTTAAACTACATTCCCAACAAGGAGCGATCTTTAAAAGGTGATTCTGGGGTTAGCTTGAGGAGGCGGATTTGCTTGGAAACGCTAACGATAAAAAGCATAAACTACATCAACTGCAACAACTTTCCACATGAAAATGCTCCTGAGGCTTTGCTGCCATTTCAGTCTCACTTCGAGCGAACATATTGGCAACAGACCAGTGAAGAGGAAGGATGAGAGCAGGCGGATTTGTACCGTCGGGCGTGGGTTGTAGGTCAACATGAGAAGTTTCCTTTTTAGTCATTTAACTTCGCCAGACTAGGCACTGAAAACACAAGGATGGAAGCAATTACTCGTCTATAAATACATTCAATGCTATGGTTCTTCTGCAAACACTGTGTTTATCACAAGGAAGACATGATACTTCCTCTAGAACTTAATGCTTGTTGAGCAAAGCCAAAGGGCAGACTGGCGCCCACTTCCCTTCAAGCTGCGTAGCACCCTGTATGTCTCATTGATTCTCATCTGTTGCATCAGATACCTGAGCGCACTTGCATTAAACACACATTCCATTAAAACACCACAATCACTCAACAGCCCCTGCTTACATCAAGGTTTGGTACAAACATAGTTTTATAAGTGCCCGGCCTGTGAAAGCACATCCTCGTTGTGCATTAAAAGTATTCAAGACTAAATGGGAGTCTTTAATTATTCATGAGGGCCACACAATGCAGATGTCTTATTTATCCTCACTGGTATCAGAACATGCTCAGCACAGCAACCAGCAGGACAAGTAGTCATTACGCAGATTGTCTGATTGTTGCTTGCACTTTCAATGGAAGTCTATGAGGATTCCATAAAACAGCTGCTCCACGGACATCCTTTACAAATGCATTTCTGCTGATTTTACAAACTTGAGGTACAAGCCAAAGTTATTTTCTTTGGTAACCAACATCCAACTGATGCCGTCTATAGAACTTTACCATATTAAAAGCATAGCTGTATTTGACCATAAATGTTCCTTTAACCAGAGAAATCTGGAGACCCAGGCTGTATCCTAAAACCCCATACCCTTATATAGTGTGGGTTCACACTCTTTTTCAGTGATCATTTTCAATTTCACTAGCAGGAATTAAAGACAAGCATCATGCCCTAAAGTAATATATTATACGTTATCTAGCCTGCTCACAGAGTTCTGCACTCTGTGAAAACCCTCATTATAATCAATGAAGCTGGCTACACTGCACAATGAATCTCTTATTTACATGTTTACACTTTGTTGGTTATAATGAAATGATTCTGAACAACTTGAACACCTCTGATTGGTCATTGCATTCAGGTGTTCAACACTTATTACAATGCTTAATGCTGCAAAAACATTCTAAATACAGAAAAATTTGAAAGTTCTCACACAAATATGAATGGGAGTGTCTGAAAGCAGCCACCTATTAGTGGGTATACCAGATTGACCTAGTACGATATACCAGTGGTTCCCAAACTTTTTGAAAGCATGGAACCCCTTTGTAGCACTGCACCTAACCCCCCAACCCAACCCAACCCAATTAAACTAAATCTACATGTGTACATGTTTAATATTAGAATGAAAATAGCATATCAATTATCAAATTGACTTGTTTTTTTTCAAACAACTTGATGAGAAAAATAAGAATATTAAATCAAATTATTTTATTTTTGGCATTTAACTACTTTTTACACTCACTGAGCAGTGTGTGGGACATGCCAAAGTCACATACATCCAATCAAAGAAAATGGTATGAAATGAGAAAAACACATTTCAAGAGATTTATCATTGTACTTCTGTGTAAATGTATGTTGATTTTTCATAAAACCTCAGAATTTCATTATTTTGCATTATGTTCATGATGACTGAATGAAATTTGATGGGAACACCAAAGGCACTTTATAGTGATTTTGACCCATATAAAATTAAATTAGATGAGCAAACAACAAATGAAGCATAATGAATTTATTATGAATGCATCACAACAGACATAGGCCTAACACCGTGTCCTAACCAGACGCGACGCGACACGATGTGTATTTTCCATGTTAATCAGAGTTTTTGTCCCAACCAGCAACGACGGCTACCCGCGATGATTCTATTTTAGAAACGGTTTCTATTTTTCTGCGCTGTCGTGTCTAGAACAACAGAAAGTATGATAATCTCAGGTAGCCTACTGTTTAATGCTTCATTTAAAGTTAAATGCGTCTGTGTTAGTTTGAATATCATTGTGTGTATTTTATAGCCGTAGCCTAAGTTACTGGAAGCAACAATTCACCTCAGATCTTCAAAATAAGTGAACAAGAACGTTCAAACTGTCAACTGCATTTTATGACTACGATTTTTTCAGAAAGTGATTTGAACCAATTACTTTAAATGTGTTTTGTTCCAATGATTCCCACATAAAGATTGATACTTAACTCTATCGACTTGGTACCAAAGTAGGCCTACTGCTACTTTTGCCCACAATCAGAATTAAATAAAAAAGACTGTGTGCCTGCTGTAAGCTAACTCTGCTGCAAGGACCTATTCATGACTAAACATCATTATCCAAAATACTTCTCACGTGTCAAAACTCAGCATCCATGAACATAGCACTTTCTGCTACGAACAATAATTGTTTCAGGGTGTGATAAACTCCTTTCTCAGCTAAAGAAAAACACAACATGATTAAAATAATCATTTTACATGTGTTTTCCAGGACTGGAAAAAATAGTAATCAATTTTCCAGATTTCACAGTACACGTGGGAACCCTGATAGTACACTGTTTGAGAGGACAGCCATTTGTAGTGATGTCTGAAACCATATCCACATCGAGCACTCATTCAATCCCATAGACAGTGGGTCTCCAAGAGCAAGGTTGAAGGTTTTAGGGCTAAAGACAAAAAGACAGCCACGGATACCCAAAATGAAGCTAGAAGCTAAATGGCTTGACAAATTAGAATCGTTTGATACAGATAGTAGTTGACTGAGCGCATTGCTTTGCTTCACTGTTTTGAACTACACATTTTTATTATACAATAAAATGATTTAATATCACCCAAAGTTGCTGCATGCAGGAAACTACTATCAAAAACCTTTCCCGATTACCAACAATGACAACTAGATATTAAATTACCATTGAACATGGTCGCATTTGCATCCATTTATTCAGTCCGAAACCCTGAGGAGAACGAGCTATCAAGAAACATGAAGACAAGCTTTGAAAGAGACACAGGAGCCAGGTCTAGAATTTATTTATTTTTTATTTTTGACATTACAAAAGAGGTAAAACATATGCAAGTTTATTAGGTATTCTCTTTGTAGTCATACGTAATGTGCAGGCTGTGCGCGCACTTGGATACACCAACTTCCAAACAAGTTAGAATAACTTTCGAAAGTGAAAAATTCTGTCCGCTCCCCCAAGTCACCGAAAGGGTTCTACAGCCCCAAAGGCATTAGTTTTCTTCTACACAAATAAGGCCAACAGCTATGCTGAAAGACGAGCACTTCAATAAGCTTAAATCCAGTTTAGCTGCATTGAAATACAGACTCCTGGCACTCATAACTAATCTATTTCATCACTAATCCCAAGATATTCCCATGGTTTCCCGACATTGTTTTAGGCGTGTCTGCTTGTGTGGATGCTGGAAAACATGCAATGGAATGTTACTTCAGCGACAGCCAAGGTGGAGGTGTCCAACTCTTTGTCCTGGAGGGCTACGGATTACTCAAGCCAGATTCCACATGGATGGATTTAATTCATTTTCATCAAAGCACATTGAGAGAGACCTTTAGGAGGCTAAGTTATTACCAGCATTTCACACTGAAGGAGGTGGCCAGCAGCCATGGTTCTCCTCCAGGACATGAGCCAGAAACCATCACAACTCCTCCCCATGCACTCAAAACCCTGACTCCCTGGAGAGTGTGTACTGGTTAGGTGTGAAAATAACAAAATAGCCATGCAAGACAGACAGACATTGGTGTGAGCATTTCATTTACATTCGTAAAGCCATGCTTTCTGTTTTCAGTATGCACAATGTGTTGTTTCAGACCACCACACATGCCTTACACATTACCCTAGAGGCATTTTCCTAGCAGCTGTAGGCCACGTATGTCCAACGCAAACAGATATGACTGTGTAAACAGACCCATTTAGTGCACTCAGTTGGGTTGAAAATTTCCACCTCCTTGAGACAGTTCTCTTTACCCCCTTGCATCTGTCCGGAAAATAAATATTTCCATTATCTGCTTTTGCGATTTCTCATTACAGTGAAGCCTGCATACACATCGGTCAACCTCCTAACCACGTGGACCCATTGTTCGACGCCACTTGAGCAGTGGCTGATGCTTATTAAAATCTGTGCAGAGGACAGATTTGTCTCTAATGCAATAAGGCATTAGTCCTGTTAGCCAGTCGGCAACCAGTGGCGGCTCCGCGGGGGACGGACACACTGTCATCGGTGGTAATTGGTCAGAATGACGTGCTCGAATCGTACGTGTGCTAAGGGTGAAAAAAATGAGCAAAAGATGAAAGCTACAGCAATACACACTGACAGTGAAACATACACATGCACAAAAGTCATGCAGTGCTAAATTCACACTCTACACAGCAAGGATTAGAAAAAGCTGAATTTATGGAAAGCTCTCAATTAGGGCAAGAAAGACCTTTATCCAGAACTTAAGGTAACAATGTTAGTATGATTTAGATCAACAGCTGCACTATGTTGCGAGCCCCTGGAGTTTTTTGCATTTGGTTAATGAGATGGAAATTTCAATTGTGATTCACGCAAACTGCAAGACAGTTCCAGCAGCTTAAACCCATTCAAACATATCTCAAGAGCAAGACAAAAATTACCATGGCAATTAAAGGACAAAGTCTTTGCTAAGAGATAGGAGCCGGACAGCTCTAAATTAGCATGTACGTTCCTCCGAGCGAGGAACTGGGGAAGACATGCTTGTCCTGCAGAATAAAGCACTGGAGTATTGTCTGAGGTAGACGTTTAGAGAGCTCGGACAGAATTTTCCGAGCTTGTTAAAATGATTTCTTGGCCAACATGAGCAGAAGAGGTCAATTTAAAGATGAACATTTAAAGTTAAGTGTGCTTAGAAAGCACTTGAGGTGAACAGTAAAAGGAAACTTTTCAGTAGAGAAATGACTTTGCATAACCACTGGAGAGCAGATATACACCGCACCAGACCTCAAGACTTTTCAACCCTTTTAAGAGGTTGCTGGTTTAAACTTTAGCTGACAGTACCATCGATTTCTGCCATTCCACCCCATTCAGAAGCTGTCCAGTCAGACCGTCCATGGTTCCATAAAGACTGCTGGTGTTCAAAGGTAAGATTGCTCTTACACTGCAAACAAACACTTGTCTTTTCCTGTAGGAGAATTACAAGTCCATCAGCAAGTGACCAAAAGAGGGAGGAGCGCACACACACAACTCTGAGCCAAACAACTGATGCATCTTGTATGATATCACATCAATCACATTAGGCCAATGAAGCTACCAGTAATTACTGAGCTGCGTATATAGTGGAAACCGGAAGCAAGCCCATTAGGGCAGTGCAACTTCGTACCATTTAGAGCTTTTTGCAGAACACGCAGATTTGGAAAGCTTTGACTCATCAGAACGGGAATGGACTAAAACTACAGAGAATAGGATAAAGAAAGGATAACTGACCTGAGGAGAGGTCTGATATTCTTGTTTAAACTTTCCATTTCCAGGAATTTCCAGGCATCACAACCTGAGGGAAGAGAGAACACTATGAGCGAACAACCAAACATTGCTATGATAAACTATATTGTATAGAATAAACTCATGCAATCTTCCAAGATTGAGTCATGCAACTCAAGCTTTCCCAGGTAACATTTTCAGGTAGAACAGTGAGTTTTTCAATACGTTAAACAAATCGCAAAAGAAAAAAACAGGAGCAGCATTACAAACATAGATGGATCTAGATTTGACACTGAGCACTTTTAGCATGAGTTGCATTACAATTCTGCTCTAGAATGTTAGTACACAAATATTATTATAAGCAAAATCTATTACTGCGTGTTTGTATATTTTTTTCCACTTTACTTTTATATTTTTAACGACTAAATATTTTAAATCATTGCACGCCGTCACCAAATACTTTTAATGTATAAATGTAACATTACTCACAAATTTAGGGTTAGGGTTACCTTTACAATGCTGCACTTAAGTTTAACAGTCCTCTCCTGCCCTCTTTACTAAAAGCAGCCAACGTGTCTTTGCATCAGACTTGACAAATATGGCCCCTGCAAGCTTAACTTTTAAATTCAAATTATTTCAGGCTATAATACATTTCCCATTCTGAGAGAGACCAAAAATAGAATGTCATTCAAGAAAAGTTTAATACATACCCAAGCATCGAATGCTTTAGTTCTCTCTATAGACATTAGGAAGCTATCCAGGTTATTTTAAAGAGCACAGGTCTTACCTCTAGGGTCCTTTTTAAGTATAAAAAGAGAGAGAAACATTAAAGGTGTGCTTTTAATTGTCAGATCAAACACTTTAAACAGACTCCTTTAGTGTAGTTTACGTCTTCAGACTACATGCATTGTTTTAAATTTAAAATCTGTTTTTGAAGAGGAAGAATGATTGGAACCGAAGGTTATGAGTTATTTAAAAAGGCCATTTCAGATTTTATGAAGACAAAGAAAAATAAACCAGGTTAAAGTTTCATAAAAACAATCTAGGCTTTATTGACAACTGCTGCAAAACATGTTTTGGACAGATTTAGTTACCTATTTAGGCAAGCTTACACATATCATTCTGCATTTTATGGAGAGGATACAAATACTAAATGGCAGTAAAGTACAGTTTGGATGTGAGTTGTTTTTTTCTTTTTCCTTTTTTAAATTATATACAATAGTCGGTTTTAGCTGCAGTATCCCTTTACATAAGAAAGAGATGACCCTTGTGGAGATTGTTGTCCAAATCCTTTTTTTTAAAGCAGTTTTTGCATGCAGTTTATATAGCATGGTGGCATCCATGATAATCTGACTTTTGATTATTATTTTTTACATAAGTAGCCAAACATGGGTTATTCTACAGAACAGTTTTGAAGAGTAACATCTTATTTTAACAAATTAAGGATTTGAGGACATTCCATCTCAACAGCGTCTAATTGGGCTATATTTCAAAACTCTAAAATACAAGGAAAAATATTGAGGCCTAAATCTACATTTACAGCTTTTAAGACTATTTAAATCAAATGAGGAATAATCAATGGCTGTTGGAAAGACCATTAAAGACATTTTGACTTTCAGTAATTTATATTCCTTATTACAAAACAGACATTAAGTTTAGGGTCTATTTGATATGCTAGTATTAAACAGAATTTTGAAATGTAGCCTACATGGGAATCTGCAACTGCACCTCAGCAGAGTTTTTAAGGTAACAAATTAAAGTGGTGTCCTGAGACACAAAAAGTGGCTGTACAGTTGTTAGGGTTTACCTTTCAACTAAATACTTTTTCCAATCATTTGACAAACTTTTACCATCGACAAATGCAAAAAAGCAAGGGTAGGTATGAGCAGAGGAAAAGATATTTGCAAAAACAAATAAAAAAACAGCAATGTTTAAACTTTAATTCCTTCTAAAAGTTATATCGATTCTTGAGGCATTCGAATGCCGTTCCGCCAAGTTTCTTTAAAGTCCGGAGTAAAAAACACAAAACGAGAAAAAAAAAAAGTAAGAAAAAAAACGAGAAAAAAAAAACAGACAATTACTTTTGTCGGGTAGCTTAAAGTGTGAGCTGCCATGGGAGACAGTTATGGCGACGCGTTGGGTGACTTTCCGCTAGTCAGACTTAGTATCGTCCATAAGGGGGTTCCCTGAATCCAGGCTTAGTCGGTCTCTGAGTGGGAGCTTTTCCACCACCAACAGCGCGCTGTGTCCCGTTCCAGTCATCTTGAGCTACGGGAGCAAACACAGTGCAAAAAGGTAAGATAAAGCAAGCAAACAATAACTTACCAAAATGTTTAAATAACTGAGCTTTCACAAAGCCTCACCTTAAAAACATTACTGAAAAAAAAAACAAGGCAAGTCTGTGTTTGGATGGTTTTAAACACAAATTTACAGAAATTATCCAAAAATAAGGTACCTGTTCTGTTACACTAGCATTATCAATTGTAATAGCTATAACAAAATCTCACCCTTTCATTAACCACAATAAATGTTTGAAACCATTATCAACAGCAAATGTGGGGTTACAACTTAATTGACCCTACAGAGTGTCAGATCAGAAAAAAAAAAGAAAAAAACTTAAATTCAAAAGCAAAAATCTTACCGTAGTTTTCATACCCCTCCTGTGTCTCTCCGTGTCCATAATCATAGTACTCTGGTTCTCTGGAAAAAGAACAAACACCATTCAAACTAACTCTTAAACAAGAGAAACTGGCCTGAATTTCCAAAAATAACATACTAAGCCATAGGGCTGTGTATTGGCAAGAATCTGTCGATACGATACGTATCGCGATACATGGGTCACGATTCAATATATTGCGATATATTTCGATACTGTGCATAAGGCGATATATTGCGATTTTTTTAAAGTAGGACTACAATTTTAGAAAGTATTATTTAAAAAAAAGACATGATGTGCATAAAATTCAAACAAGTTTACTTTAGATAAACAATTCAGTACACAGAAAATCAAACTGCCAGTTTGGGATTGTGGTTCACAGGTTCTTAGTGAGCAAATTTGTATATGCTCAAGTAGGCCTTAATAAAAGAAAATACATAGCCCCTGTCACAATACATAACATACACACATGTGTGCAATCTGAAAAAAGAAAAGACATCTGTCAATGTCAATAAAAATAAATAAATGCTTGCACTATTCCTAGTACACAGGGTACATCCAACACGTTTTGTGTTGCAAAAACACGAACACAATTCAAGTCAAGTCAAGTATATTTATATAGCGCTTTTCACAATTGTATCAAAGCTTCACAGTATAAATCAAAATAACATAATGTTTGTTTCTTAGTGGAAAAAACATCCACGTTAGGTAGGGCTGATCAATGGTATTAATGATTGGTTAATTAATTTGAATATCCCCAATTCCTAAAGGAAACATTGAGGAACAAATATATAAATAGTCAGTTAAAGAAAATACATAGCCCCTTACTGTGACATCTAGGCTAATGCATAACACATAAGGTGCAATCTGAGGGGCAATCTGTCATTAAAAAAATGCTTGCACTATTATTCATACAGGGTACATCCAACACATACCGTAAAACTTCAAATAATAGCGAGTCCCATATAGACGCCGGTCTCTTTTACACGCCTGATGTGGCGAGTGGCGACAGGTTTGGGTAAATAAAGGCCAGTCTCAAATAGAGGCGGGGTCTGTTTTTTAGTTTCGGGTTGTATTTAATCTTTTAAAACCCGTCAAATCGTCCGCTTTTTAGCGGCTGCCAAAACAAATTTGTGTCCCGCCAAAACCTTTTTTTATCGGTGAGTGATGTAGAATAGAAAGACTGCTGCGCTTGACAGGACGCAAACGAGCAGAGAGAGAGAGAGAGAGAGAGAGAGACAGAGAGAGAGCGCCCCGGCCGCGCGCGCACTCTCACGTCTTCAAACAACACGCGCGCTGTCTTGCTCTCTCTCCCTCGCGCATATTAATCAAAATCATAGACACTGTAGGCGAGGACACTAGTGGTGCGTCTCATTCTAGCCATCTAGTGGTAGGGATTTAAACACAACATAAACGCGAACCACGGCAATAGTATGAATATTTTTGCACGTAAACTAAAAAAAAAAAATCGATATTGCATTTTTTAAAATCGATACAGTATTGCAAAATAAAATATCGCGATACTCAAGTGTATCGATTTTTTCTTACACCCCTACTAAGCCAAGCACATTGTGCTTTTAAGACACTGGGATGTTTCCAAAAAGCCTCCATAAACCCCAATAATTATAAGCAAAGTTAATCTTTTTGAGGAAACTTGGACTTTCGAAGTCCCAAACCAGCAGTAATAATATTATGTTTTCAATCAACTTACGCTTGTGGCTGGCTGTAGTAGCTGTCATAGGATTCATAGCCTGGCTCTGTGTAGCTCTCGTCATAAGACTGAGGAAACATAAAATACAATCAGTCCACTGCAGCAAACTGTGGTATATAAAAAAAAAAAGATATATTGTCTAAAAAAAAAACATACATAGTCTTCGTATGAGTCTTGGGCCGGAGGGTGCGGGGCTGGTGGAGGGGGCATCCGCTGAGACTGGGCGGGTGGACGGGCACGGTTGGAAGCTGCTCCTCTGGGCGGCTGGGCTGATGGTCCACCTCTACCTGCAGGAGCTCCCCTTGCGGCTCCACCTCGAGGGGGACCACCACGGCCACCTCCACGTGGGGGCATACCACGACCCCTGCAAGGGTAAAAAGTGTTAATCTTCTACTCGCCTTAATCTACAAAATGGAAGTTCATTGCATTAAAAATCAGATTTAACTAACGATCACATTGAACATTAAATAGGTGTATGTTACCTGGGTGCCCCAGGAGGAGGAAGACCTCCACGCCCTCTGATGGGTGGCCCTCCTCGGCCTCTGCCCCCATGTTCCTGACCTCCATTTAGATACTTCATCTCCATGAACTGCTCCTGGCAAATGTCATCCATCATGTCCTGTGAGACAAGCACACAGCTCACTAACATGACAACACAACAGACACGTCACAAGAACATCTGTCTCAGAACATTATGCAAATAATGGTTTCTACAAAATCCAATGCTTAAAGAGCTGGACAACAACTATTTTTATCTCTTAACAATGAAGAGCCAGCATTATGCCTTGAGAAACAAACTTGCATAGCTCAGATGAGGCCATTAGAACAGGGTACAGAAGTTTGTTCTCAAAGGGGAAACATTTAGGAAAACCTTTCAGTCACTCAGTCCAGCTACAGAAGTGAGCACAAAAACAACCGATTTATCTGATTAAATATTAATCTGCTGCCACGGGCAAAGCAAGTAGAGTTACAATCCAACAACACAGGCGTTTTGGACTTATACAATTGCCCATTTGGAATTCATAAATCACAGCACTATAAACAAAGAAAGCTTAGACAAAACAGATAATCAGCACTTCACTGCAAAACATGATCTCTGGGCTGCCTTTCTTGAGGCCAGAGCGTATTTCAGTACTTACAGGGAACAAGAACTTTTTGATCTCCTCCATGGCATGAGCCATGCGCATGTACGCCTCAGGAACAGGAGCAAACACCTCAATGAACACATGAAGCTCCATGGACAAGTGTGCGTACTTCGGCTCTTCACTTTTTCTCAAGCCATCCTCCTGAAGAGCACAAAAATAAGTTCAGCAGATCCAATTTACCCTTAGTTGTGTCATTTATCCTTCACTCACACACAGCAAGACAACCAAAACCTGATGAATCAAATAGCCTAAAACCATCCTTTTATTTTTTCAAGTTTAAAGCTACCTTAGAAAAAAAGTTGTTCTTGCAGCAATCATTCATACTTTTAAAAAATAACCTCAATTGCACTTTACCTTGGTTTTGTCCCTCATGGATCCTTTCCCCAGCACAGAGATCTTAGCGCCCGTCTCCTCCTGCAGTCTCTTGATGGTGTTCCCCTGTGGTCCAAGGATCTTTCCAACAAAGTTAAACTGCACAAAGCAACAGAAAATTAAATATTAAACCCAGTGTTTGAAGAAATCTACAGCTCTTAACTTAGCCTGACTGTACTTGTTTTCAAGGACTGAAAACTCAATAGTGTAATCTTCCTGAACAGGACAAGATTAAATGGAATGCAAACAGATCAAAGGCTGGAGTTGTGCTCTCTTCGACACCAAAGCAAGGGGTAACATTAGGCGGTCTGTGGGACACAACTAAAATGGTAGAAAAAAAGAAAGAAAAAAAACCCCAACAAGTGCCACTCTACAAAAAGAAAGGGAAAAAAAGTCAAATATTTAAATTTATGGTAACAGCAGTAAGATGTGCAGCTGACAGGTGTGTTATAAAAGGTCACAAATCAAAGATCTAACAGATTTTAAGAATTAAGCAGCATAATCAGTCACGCATAATTCACATACATTCTGATATCCACATAATACTTAAGAAAAAAAAAGAAAAAGATTGGATTCTGAGAAGGTGGAGCAAAAAAAATTCAGTTAAATTCAGCTAGACTCAACTGATCTGGCCAGCAAACTTTAAACACGGAAGGTCAAAGAAAAACACTGCCATGCTCTCTAAAACAGCAGAGGACTCAATCAAACGGTCTGATCGCCTCTGGCAGGTAAGCTATCACAGGACATGCACAAAGAAACATGCATTTTGAAAATATCTTAAGCCCCTTCGTAACAAATTACAGGCCTTTCACAGGTTTTGGCAATCAAGGCAAGTTTATTTAGTCAAAGGTTTGCAAATTTGTTCAAATGCAACCCTAGGGATTGTAGACGTACCATTTCACTCTAATAGTGCTTTTCAAAACTAAATTCTATAAATAAGTTCTACTTAGTCTCAAATGTTTGCACAAATTGAATACCACCCAAGAACCCTCAGGTAACCTTTGCTTGCGATTACTGAGGTGTTACACAATCCTTCAACACCAGATCGGAAGCAGCACACATGTAATGGAGTAAATCGGCACAGCAGACATGTTCCTAAATACCACAATGACACCCACCTTAGGGTACTGCTTGACTGGTATGAGAACCCTTTCCTTCAGTTTGATGTTTTTCGTCGTAAAGAGGTCCAGGTAGCTTTCTGTATCTTTCTCGGTCTCCCCATTTTGAACCCTTTCAATTTCTAAAAAGCACAAGAAACATTATTAGGCATGAGATTTGAACATTTAAAATGTAAATACTAAAACTACTAGATATTTGAAGAAACTTTACCAATCAACTAACATACATTTTCAAACTGATTCCACTAAAGACATTTACACACATTTCTTGAGTTCAACATTAGACAAGGTCAGAAACTTATTGCTGAGTTAAAATCGTCAAAAAGCAGTTTTGCCCCTTTTAAGATTAAACCCCCAATAAATGGATCATATATTCACTGATAATATACATATATTTATTGTGTTTCTCCTCATATCATGACATGCTGGATAATGATTACAAATTTATGAAATATTTATTTATTCTCCAGGTCATTATACTTCAATGGCAAATGTATGCCTGAGACTTAAGTGTTTGCTTCAGGTTGCAAAGAAAAGTGCTTGCCTCAAAGACACACCAATCAATAGACTCAGATTCACTAGGTGACTTTTCACTGCAAGTCTGATGCTAAACACTGAACATTTACACGCCTCTGTAAATGTAACTTATGGAACCGTTCTGCTGATATAAACCACAAGATACAGTTAAACTCCCACTACCCTGATGATATAAGACATGTGGTGAGACTAGGCCAGGAAAAGACATTTCCTACAACAAAAAAAATCCATTTCATCTCCAGATGCAACACTTCCCACACTAAAGGCACATATGGTCCGGAACATGGTTTATATTACAACGACAATTCTCAAACTTAAGATTTTCAGCCGTCTTCAATTTAATTTGATCGGGCTTGGACGATTTCATCTAAAGCTTTCCAGATCCTTCAGTCTAGTCAAACACGATAAGCGCATGTAGGCTGGGACTCGATGTGTACAAAGAAACGCCACGTTGACCCATTAGATACAGAGCCCTCCTTACAAACAAACAATAATGTAAGGTAAAACTTTTTTCCTTAATTGGATTGCTATATTGTAGTACGACTCACTTAAATCACGACTGTGTGATTTATTACATTGAATATGATCAGTTTAAACAAAACATTTAAGACTGATTAGGTATCGTTAAGTTGTATAACATACGTATACAGTTCGGTTGAACCCAGTCCAGAACGCGGCTCACAATGTAACGTTACTCGAGCGGAAAGGGGAATGCTGTCCGGGGGATGACGGGGTAAAACTATACAGCATTACGGTTTTCGACCGTGCAAAGTGGAGTATGATACAACGAACTGATATAATCCAGGAAAAGTGGAGTTTTTCCCTCCGGGAAAAAAATCATTAGCTACACGCCAAAAATGGCTTCGGCAGCACGTGCCTGGTTCGAGCTAAGTATACACGAATCCCCTCCTCGCGCACTGAAACGAGACTTTGTAACGGTCGACCTCCGTCCCACGAACGACTACTGTCGTGGAAGTGGCTTCCCTCCAAACAAAACTGCTATTTATCTACATCCCGAAAAGTTACTCGGTAACACGTGCATGTCTCCCGCCTTCGTTTTCACAATCGGCTTTTACCTGCGGATATAAGTTTCGTGGCGTGTGTGAACGACGCGTCCAGGGTGTCTCGTTCCGCCAGCAGCTGCGGGAGGTATTTGTTCTCGCTCTCCATGTTGAGTTTGTAAGTAAATGAAGATTTAAACACCAAACGTCCGACGGTGAAACTATTTTAGTATCCACGTCCTGCAAGAGGTAATAAGAACACAAGCGTGATTGCTGATGAAGACCGTAGTGAGTCGCAATGGCTCCTGTTCTCCGCGGTGCGGCTGGAAACAGATGAACAAAAGCTTGAGACGAGCGCAAATGACTTGAACGAGCGGAAATTACGTCACGAAAACTGGACGTATGGAACCGCCCACTTTGATGTGAAAGTTTTTAGAATGTCTATTCAAAATTGATTTTGCTTTGGGTAGAGGCTGTCTGTCCTATTCATTAATACACACACACACACACACACACACACACACACACACACACACACACACACACACACATTAATAATATAATAATAATAATCTAAAATATCTCAAATTACACGTGTTCATTACACACACATAATAGTGCTGGACATAGGGAAATTATCCATGTTCTTCCATTAAATGTAAGGCTGTTATGCATGAATTAATATGCTGCTATGCTGTCTGGTTTTTGGAGACATCCACAAAGGTTTGCATAAGCTTCTGGGCTCATCTAAGTGGTAAATTATGAAGAGATAGCGCACGCTACATAATGTAATGTTTGCTGCCCCCCTCTGGATAAAAATGGAAAATGAGTTACATTCACACCAATTTGCCTATCCATTGAACAATACATTATAATATAGCAATGACTTCTAATGTATTAGTAATGCTTTTAGCATGATTTACATGCTTATGTGTTCATTACATTTACAAGACAATCCTGGCATATTAGGCTATATATCAAATTTTGAATCCATACTATTACACTATTATTATTTTCAAGGCATCCTTCATTTAAACTCAACTGTGCTTGTTTTCCTTCATGGCTTGAGCGTTCTCTCTTTACTGTAAACACAGCTTCTCAGTGCCAGTGCTAGCGAGCTGTGAGGTCAGCCGTGGCTCAGCATTGCTAGGAGGCCAGTGAAACCTTTTTGTCCAGTGAAAGCTTTCAGAACTGTCACACCTGCTTAGGTCTTTAGCACCACTACCACCACCCTCCGCTCCCATTTTCCCCTCAGCCTCGCTCAAGGTTAACACACTCTGTTTGTGCATGTCAGACTATTCAAACTCGTAAAGAAGTGACTGCTGACTGCTGTGGCCTTTGAGCTTGGCTGGGCTTGGCTAGCACATATTTCTCTATTTTTTTTTTTTGCTGCTTTATCGCTCTCATTCTCTCTTTTCCAGGGCCATTGTTTAAATTCACAGGGCCCATGCAAGACAAAATATTTATAGGTGAGCCCACTGAGTAGATTTACTTACTTACTTATACTTACTTACTTTGTTTGTTTACACTGTTTGTTTATTTCCCTGATGTTTCTGTCACATCCTTTTATTTAAAAAGCATTTGAAGATAATTGAGTGAGTTATTTTATATTATTTCAGTATCTTGTTCCCTCAAAAAAAAATTATCATCTTCTCAGCACCTGTTAGCAGGAAACTTGTGACAAAACATCCTGTGACCTGAGGCAAACACTTCCATTTTTTTTATAAGCTGTAGCAACACATTTAACAAATCTCTTCTGCTCTGCTGATAACTGACAAATGACACATCAATTATGTTTAGGATGTGCATTTCAAAGGAAGTTTTAATTTGAGTTAATGAAATCTATAGGAGAACACACCTTTCAATATAAATACAGTGGTAAGATGTTTCACATTAGTACACAGGAAAAATAATTGAGTAACACATTATTAACACAATATTAATTTGATTGTACTCTGATTAACAAATTAGTAAGTAATAGCACTCAGTTGAATGTGGTTGTTCACCATTAGCTTTTTTTTATATCGCCTAAAATACCTAGAAATATAATTATTGTGCATCATACATAATTAAGATCATGGTAAACCACTACTAATGACTCAAGTAGTCCAAATCCTTAAAATTGCTTATTATTTTGAACAGTATCTAAAGTGAAAAACATGATATCTCCTTGTAATGTAAGCTGTAAATTTATGAATAAGGGAATATAGTTTCTAGTTTGTTCTCAGGGAGGTTTGGAAAAAATAGTAGTTATTGATTAGCTAATAGTGAACTATGCATTCAACTGAGTTACAAATTCGTTAATCAGAGTGTCATGATAGCAGTGTTGGGAAAAGTTACTTCGGTAACACTTTATTTTAAGGTGACGTAGTTACACGTTACTGCATGTACTTACTTTAGTAATAACAGTACATTGTGCATAATTACAAGTAACTAACTATAAACCAAACCCTAACCATAACTTTATAGTAGGTAAATGTAGTTAATTAATATTAATCAACACTTGTTGGAGTAAGTACAATGTAACTACGTCACCTTAAAATAAAGTGTACCAGTTATTTTTAAAAGTATGTGTTACAATATTGCGTTACTCCCTATAACAAGTAACTAATTGTGTTACTTAGTTACTTTTTATGGAAAGTAATGGTATACTTTTTCACCTTGGCTGTGCTTGCTTATTTGTTTTTTAATAACAAAAAAGTTATATTTTTGGCACAATAGGACACAGGAGAAGAAAGTTCAGCACTCTTACTTCAGCAATAAAAACAAAACAATAATGAAACACAAATGTGATGTTTAAAAAGTCATTTTTGCTTATTTGTATATAGTTCAATTGGCTCATCGAAGGTCAGCAGCAAAGACATTAATAAAGTTAATAAAGTGAGATTACATAAAGTATGTGTTATTTTAACATTAAATATCGCAGGTTTGCGTAATATTCTAAATATGCATTTCACTGTTTTATTCATTTTGAGGAATACTGAATCTGTTTCTGTGTGACGATGAGTAAATGCATGATCACATTTAGTATAGAATAACCATCATGTTCACACAGCACACACACACGCCTCTACACCTTACTCCCGATTTTCTCAACATGTCAGTCAATAAATGGGAAAACAAAGTAACTTGCATTACTTATTTTTAAAAAAAAAACGATATTTTCAGATATTTTGTTGCAAACTTAAAAGTAATGTGTTACTTTATACGTTACTTGAAAAAAGTAATCTGATTACTTGTAATGCATTACCCCCCAACACTGGTAAATAGTAGTTATAGATTTGTACTATTGCGTTGCATTTATTCCGGTGTAGTTTTTCAGTAATGACGAAACAGTACAGTAACATATCTAGTAAATCAAGCAGTATGAGAAAAGCCCCCATGGTTTTATTAACTGCTGTGGTATTGTTTTCCTGGAAGCACTGCACATCAGGCTCTGACTTCACATTGTGAAGCCGATGAATAGCCATTTTAAGCCAAATTAGAGGGCAGATCTCGCTGAGAGAAATTGTTGCACTTATTTCTCCCAATGACCCAACATCCCAGATGAAGGTCATTCATCATATTAATATCTCTCTGTATCCTGTTTTTTTTTTTTCCCTCTTGGAATGAGTTCCTATTAAAGACATGTGTGCACGGATTAATCCGAGAAAGCTTCTCAATGGGAATTCTGAGGAGGAGGACCCAGATGCAGAATAAACAAGGGGCGTTATTTATTGACAACAAGTAACTGCACAAGATAGGTGAGGTAGGAATACAGTCCAAACAATAGGGCAGGGCACACAACTGGAGAATAGGTTGGTCGAGGGCACAACTGGAGAACAGGTAGGTCGAAGATGTGACAGCAAAGATGTGACGCCAAAGATGGAGACAAGGTAGCGGCTCAGGGAATCAGAGGCTTGACAGTTGGTGATGAGACTGGACGTAGCACCAGGCTAGCTGCCAGACCAGGGGAGTCAACGACCAGGGTGCAAGAGGATGCGGGACAGGAACCAACACGAGACAAGACTGAACAGGCCAAGACAACAAATAATAAAAGCGAAATAAAACGGATGATGAGACTAGAGAAAAATAAAGAAACAGAACTGAAATAACAGGATCTAGCAAAATGAATAAAAGATCTAGATATAAATTACTGAATATTGCAAAGAAATTAAACAAGACAGCAACCTTGTAGGGAACTAAAGAGAAAACAAATAAAAGATTATTTAATAATCAAATAAAAAACAAGCGAGAAACCAAAAATAAAAATTGGAAGAACTAGATCAAGATAAAGACTAGAACTTGACTAGACTTAAAATCAGGAACAAAGAAAAAAACTGGATAAAAATCAAAACAAACACAAAGCTAGAACTGACAGAGAAACTAAATCTAGTACTGACTGACAAGAAGCAAAAATGCATTGAATACAGACAACACAAAAAACAAACCAGCAAGGACATGAGGGAAAGAGGCACAATATAAAGGGACCAGAGCACATGAGGACCAGGTGAGCACAATTAGTGAAATGAGGACTAGACGTGGACTAAACAAGGGGGTGTGGTATCGGGAAACGAGGAGGCGGGACAAGAGGAGTACATGGCCAACACAAACAAAGACATGTGATCAGGCTCAAGACAAACAAAGAAACATTGAACAGAGACAAGACTGACAAGACTGTCAGGGCACCCTGACACTCAAAGGTTTGTTAAAGTAAAAATGAAGATTTAAAAATAACTTCAAACCATGCAATCAGTTTGACCCAAAGGGAATCTGAATAATGTTCTTTTTTTTTTTTTTCAGAAAATAAGTTAAAATTAGCACTCCGATGTGTTTGATGTGAAATAATACAGCGCTGCTTCTAGAAGGGCCTGTATAACACACTTCTCAACATGTCACAGCTTCACAGGAGATCAAGTAATTAATCAGCACAGGGTTTGATTCCCTTTAACCTGCTTAAGGGCCCCAGGCTAGATCTGTTTCTTGAGAAACCAAAAAAAGCACAAGATACTAATGATGCTGGAATAATCACCTCAAGCGAAAAACATTTTCAATGCTTTTCCACGCAAGCACAAACACGTACTGAGAGTGAAATGCCATGTGTAATGTGCTTTTCCCGCTCTCTCTTTGATCAGTTTCGATATAGTGCGAGTCTGGAGTCTTTATCCGCTGCATATTTGAGCTCTGGTTTCACCAGCAGACCTGTAATGATAAAGAGAGATCGGGAAAAATACAGATGTTCTCTGCCGGTTCAGAGCCTGAAATTGCAGTTACCTTATAATGATCCTTACTGCAAGAATGTCTTGCTAATGGTTTGTGATTTCTCAGTTTGGTTGCTGCGATACATAACGTAAAAATGCAATGCACACTGGGAGTA